AAGAAGCAGAAAGCTTCAACTGGGCATGATAAAGTGGAATCCCACCTCTTGGTAAGCTGAAGCAGGAGGATCATGATTGTGTTCAAGGCCAGCCTGAGTTATATAGAAAGACCCTGACCAAAAACAAAGAAAAAGAAAGGGAAAAAAACAATGAGAATAAGGGATATAGCTCAGTAGAGCACTTTCCTAGCATGCATGAAGCCCTAGGTTCAGTCTCCAGTACTGCTAAATAAATAAATTCTGATTTAAAAAAATGAAAAGAGAAGCTGGGCGTGGTGGGGCACGCCTTTAATTTCAGCACTTGGGAGGCAGAGACAGGTGGATCTCTGTGAGTTCGAGGCCAGCCTGGTCTACTTAGTGAGTTCCAGGACAGCTGGGGCTACAGGGAGACCCTGTCTCAAAAAGACTAAAAAAACAGATGGGGTGGTATATACCTTTAATCCCAGCACCCAAGAAGCAGAGGCTGGCAGATCTCCATGAAGTTGAGGCCAGCCTGGTCTACATAGCAAGTTCCAGGCCACCAGCTGGAGCTGAGGCTACAGGGAGATCCCGTCTCAAAAAAGCGAAACAAAACAAACAACAAAAAGAAAGAAAATGGCAGGGCATGATTGCATACGCCCTTAGTCTCAGCACTCCAGAGACAGAGGGCAGGTGGTTATCTGTGAGTTCAAGGTCAGCCTGCTCTACTTATCAAGGTCCAGGCCAGCCCAGAGCTACAAAGTGAGACCCTGTCTCAAAAAAAACAAAAAGAAAGTGAACTTCCAGTACAGTGACAACAGTAAACAGACACAGAGTCACACACACATACTCACTAGGAAGACCCAGGCTCCACCACCTTCAGGATCGCTTTTCTGCCTGTACATCCACACATACTCCAGGGATTTTGTTTTTGTTTTGGGTGTTTTTGTTTTGTTTTGTTTTTTGTTTTGTGCTTTGTTTTGTTTTGTTTTGTTTGAGACAGCAGACAGCAGGCCTGGAACTCTCTATGTAGGCTGGCCTTGAACTCACTCCAGGCTGTAGGGATTCTAATCATTTGCCCATCTCTGCCCACACTGCCCTGGCCTCGTGTGGCACTCTTCTTCTCAGTGTACTGATGCTCTTGCCAGGAGTGGGTCAAATGGGAGAGGGCTTTAAACAGCAAGGAAATAGGCAGAGAATAGATCATAGAATAGGTCTCCAAGAGTCGGTTCAAGTCAACATCCAGGTCAGAGAATGAACCTAAAACTGTCTACGTACCCTTGTGGCAATTTTAAATCCCTGCATGATGTGGACATACCTGTGCATTCTGTCTACTCCTATGCAGTCTATGTGTGTGGGTGGTATGAATATCTATCTCCTATGTATGCAACCCATCTTATGCAGAGATGCCTGAGTCCCAGGTGTCCCAACATGTGTCATTGCCTAGATGGGTCCTAGGACCTCTGGCTACACTCTAGAGGTTCTATCTCTCTATCCTGGCTGTCAGGACAGAAGAAAATAATGTATATGTGTGAAGGAGAAACAACATTGAAGTTGTGACACTAGATGACACTAGATATGATGTCAGCACTGCAGCCTTCCATATTAGTTATATTTCTGCTGCTGTGATAAAATACCATGACAGGGCTAGAGAGATGGCTCAGCGGTTAAGAACATTTGCTGTTCTTGAAGATGACCAGGGTTCAATTCCCAGCACCTACATGATGGCTAACAACCATCTATAACTCAAGTTCCAGGGGATACAACACCCTCTTCTGGCCTCTGCAGGCATGGCATGCACGTGGTACACTTACATACATGCTGGCAAAACACTCATACACATAAAATACAAATAATAAATATATTTTTTTTAATACCATGACTAATAGCAACTTGGGGGAGAAAAGAGTTTATTTTAGTTTACAGTTCCAGAGCATAGAGTGTATCATGGTGGAGAAGGCTGGCTTGGTAGTCAGGAAGCAGAAAGATCACATTTCATTCACACACAGGAAGCAGAGGGAAAAAGACCAGGAAGTAGGGCCAGGCTATAAAACTTCAAAGCCCACTGCCAGCAATGTTCTTCCTCTAGCAAGGCTCCACCTCCTAAAGGTTCCATAACCTTCCCAAACAGCTCCACCCACTGGGGACCAAGTGTTCAAGTACATGAGCCTATGGGGACATTTCTCATTCAAGCCACCACATCTCCCCATCTTGGGTTCCTTATGTTAATACATACCCCCAGCTAGGAATGATGTCAAAATGTGGAAGACTTTGCTTTCTTAGTAAACCATCCCTCAATCCCTGGGGATTTTTTGATGCCTTTTGCTATCTCTACCTCAAGGATGGATGCAGGGTACTTTGTTCTGTGAGTGGGGATTAGAGAGTGCCCAGGCTCCTTCCTCCCCAATTCCTCCCTCCAGCACCCCAGCCTCCATGCACTTATCACCTTACTTCTGATTATGGTTTGAACAGAAAATGTCCTCAAAGGCCCCCTTCATGTAGCACAGAGGCTGGTCCCCAGCTGGTGGCACTGTACAGAGATGATTCCATCAGTGGATGTGAACTGTGATGGCATTACTGGGAAGTGGTGAAAACTTTCAGAGGTGGGACCTACTTGGAAGAAGCAGGTCACTAGGAGCATGCTCTGGAATGGTATATCTTTCTCCAGCTCCTCTCTCTCTGTCTCTCTCTCTCATCTTCACCTCTCCCTTGCTCCCTTCTGCCCACCTCCCACCCACTTCTTTGCCAACATGATGTGAACAGCTCTGCTCCATCACATAATCATATATTTTCTAGCATCTAGCATGATATTCTTCTGCCTCACCATGGCCCAGAAACAAGCGACCATGAATTGGAACCTCTGAAACCATGAGCCAAAATAAATCTTTCTTTCTTTGTTTAGCTCAGGTTTTGGTGGGGTTTGTTGTTGCTGTTGTTTTGTTTTTGGAGACATTTTTATGCAGCCCTAGCTGGTATGGAACTTGCTATGTAGATCAGGTTAGCTTGGAACCTCATACTCACAGAGATCCTCCTGCCTCTGCTTCCTGAGTACTGGGATTAAAAGTGTGAGTCACCACATCCAGCTTATCTCAAGTGCTTTGTCATAGCAATGAAAACCTAAGATATGGTCTCTCTCCCTCATACTCAACCCTTCCAAGAAAGTTGGGCTCCCAAGTTCCATTCTTTCTGACTCTCAATTCATCATCCCTAGACCAGCTCTGGCTGGAGTACATCATCCAAAGATTTAAGAAGTCCTTTGCCAAGGCAAGCTTGGCCCTCCCTAGCCCTGCCTCCACCCTCCAAGCCCCTTTCCAAGATTCTAGTCCATGACCCTGCCTCTCCTTCCTCCTCTTAGATCAAGGGCCACAGCAGTTAGCCCATAGCAGCACCAGAGGGAGCCCTGTATTTCAGTGAAGGGATGTGAATCATACTGACCTGGAGAACCAAGGACCAGAAGAGAGGACCAGGCCTCCAGCTGCTCTGTACCAGACCTAATCCAGCCATGGCAGAACCTGGAGTGTCACTATGACTGTGAGAGAGAGAGTGTAGCAAGAGCAGAGCCTCTCCATGGCCAAACTGCAGTGCTTCCAGTAAAGCTGTTGGCACCCATGGATGTGTCTGCCTGCTGCCTGTTCGTGGGTAAGGCTGGGGAAGATGGATATGAAGGGTGGGATGGGGGAAGGAATAGGGGTATCCCATCCTTGTTTCAGCATACCAGCAACCCAGCCATAAGGCTCTCTTCCCTCCCTTGCTGACCAAACTATGGCTGGTATTGGGCTTTGGCTGGGATATCAGAGTTCTGGAGTAGCTGTTTCCAACCTCCTACACTGGGTTAATTTTCTGGCCCTGGTTGCAGCGCCCTCTACCTCCCTGTCAGTCTTCTCCATCTATTGTAATGACCTGATTGTTGTTGACTGTTCCATCTCTACTCCACATGATAGGCTCTCTTGAGAGTGGAGACTGTGCCTATCTTTATTATCACATCCCCATGTCCAGCAAACATCTGGAACATCATAGACACTCAGTAAATAGTTGTTGATTAAATAATGGTGAAAAAAAGAATCAGTCTCAGTCAAGAGAGGAAGGCCAATGACTCTGGCTATTAGATGATTTGGCCAAGGCCACCCAGTTAAGAAATATTTCCATAACCTAGACTGCTCTGCTGTGTTCTCTCTGGTGGCCTATTCCTTCTGTCCTGAGGTCATACAAGAGGAACAGGGCAGCCAAAATAAGCAATTGGCTGCAAGTCAGGAAAGTGGGGAACCAAGAGAGAGATACAGTGCAGAGGGCCAAGTATTTTTTTGTTGCTACCTCATTCAGAGGACTCAGCCTACCAATGTGCAGCTCCAAAATCTGACTCCATCCTTGCTGAAGAGGGCCTGTGTGTCCCGCATCTTAATAAACTCCGACTCCGCCCCCTTCAACGACAGAGGGCCCCCCCCGCCCCCCGCAAGACCTCTCAAATTGACATTTTGACTCCGCCCCTTCCGGGTGATTCACAAACCCCACCCCTGGAGTGAGAAGGTATCCCTGTGACGTACTTGTTAACAGTCCGTTTCCGGGGTGGAGCCAGGGAGGGCGGGGAGTTCAGGCTGCGCCGACCCCTCAACCCCCCTTCAGGTGACTCCAGCCCCTGAAAATCCTCACCCAGGGCCCCCAACCTCCCAGCCCCACTGCGGCCAGACACCTCTCTGGGACCCCCTACATGCCCGGGCCCAGAGATGACCATCCTCCTAACGCCTTAACTTCCATTACCTCCGTTATCTTCAATCCCACCGGGCGGCCACCTGCCTCAGGTTACCTAAAAACGATTGAGACCCATTCTGAGAATGATGAAGGAGCGGATTTAGGGCTGGGGAATAAGTAATCCCATCCTGCCGCTCCCCAGGAGACGTTCGGAACCCTGGACATGTCGCGATTGAGGAGATACGAGGTGGCGCTGGAAGCGGAGGAGGAGTGAGTGGAGGCGGGTGATGCGGAGGAGGGACCAGCGGCCAGGGTGGGGGAGGTGCGCATCCTCCGGGCGGGGGGGGGGCGGTGGTGCGGTGGGCCAGCCCCCCCCGGGGGCGGGGCCTTCGTGAGGGAGAGGCGTCCGGGGAAGGGGTCGGCGGGGTCAGCCCCGCCCCTCCCGGTCCGGCGCTGCCTTCTCTTCGCAGGATCTACTGGGGCTGCTTCTACTTTTTTCCTTGGCTGCGAATGTGGCGCAGGGAGCGGAGGTGAGGGGGCTGCGATCCCGCGTGGGCCTGAACGAGGTTGTCTTGGAGGACGGATCGGGGGAGTCCAGGCGCCCCCTCCCCGCCTCATGTCATTGTCGGGTCGCCCTACAGCTCGGCGCACCCCCGGGAGCAGAAGCTGGAGCCTCTGCGGGGCCTAATGAGCTGTCTGTCGAGCGGCCTGGGGCCTGCTCCCCAGCGCTCAGGTCGTGGTCTCCTCTGTCGCACCCCTTCCGCCGCTGCACACACAGCTGGTGCATTAAAGATTTAAAGTCAAGCCCACTGCCTTCCTGACTCTGCCGCCGCAGCTGCTATTCGGGCTGGGAGGCCCTCCCCACACCTGATGTTTCCTTAGGCAGGGCCTCCCTCCGTGGGCTTCCAGGGCCCCTCATCATTGCCAAGCAGCCTGTTACTATCCGGAACCCCCTCCCTGCCACACCCTCCCAGAAAAGCACCCATCACCAGAAGTAGGGCATGTCTAGTCCCCACTTATCAATATTCCCACAACCCCAGCTCTCTGTTAACACCTTCCTCTAGCCAGAACTTTGCCAAGTGTCTGAAGACTACCTGGGAGTGAATCTAAAGCATGCTAGCTCAAGTTGTAAAGTCAGCTGTCAGTGAGCGGAGACAGTTCCTAGAAGCTGCCTGTGGTGGTCCACTTCAGGAGAGACAAGGGTTGACAGTCCACGGCCTTTCCTACAGTTAATACCCAACCTGTCTTCTCCAGTCTGATCCCAGGATTTTTTATTTAAATTTATTTTGTTTGAGGTTCAAGGATAACTTGTGGCGGTCAGTTCTGTCCTACCATGTGGGTCCCAGAGATCAAACTCAGGTCCTCAAGTGTGGCACTTTGGCCATTTCACCAACCCCTGATCTCAGTTTTAAAGACAGTTGTTGGCATCAGCCCACCTAGCAATTCTTACTACTTCCCTAAAAAAGTCACTTCTCCCTCCCACCTCCTTTTTTCTTGTTACCCAATCACTCTGGAGCCCACTAACTCCTCAAGTGGGGACTCAGGGATTGAGTCTGCACCTGTATATGAGCTCAAACTCCAGCTCCAGAAAGGGTACCAGAGGACTGAGTTACAGACAGCTGTGTCTGGATGAGCCAGACTTTTAGCCTGGCTTCTGCTTCTGCCGTAGCAGATTGTGGCTGGGAGAAAGACTTGGCCTCCATATCTTTGGAGAAGCCAAGGAGGAGAGAGGAATGCATAGCCAGGAAAATTTGTTTTCTGCCTTCCAAAGATCTCTGGACTGACAAGACCAGGAAAAATCACAAAGTATGTGGCAGGCAACCAGCTGATAGAAAAGTATGACAAGATGATAGAACCTTGGAGATTTCCTCAGAATTTCTTCTGGTGCTCTCAGGCACAAGTCTAGACTGGAAATAAGAGAGACACCATAGCCTCTGGGACCAAAAAATTCAAGAGGAGTTGCCTCTGGGTTGTGGTTACTTTCAAGAAAAGTGTGAGTTCTTAAGCCATTTCCTCACAATGTCTACATTAAGGACTCCTTCAAGTGCTCTGTCCAGCACTGGGCTCACATCTTACCAGGCTGTCAAAAAACTTCTGAGACAATCTAGGGGGAGCGGCGGGGGTTGAGGCTCACCAGGGACAGGAGGAAGCAATCAGGAGGGGCACTAATCCCTACTCCCTGAATGCTGAGCCACTGCTACAGTAGAAAGCTGCCCAGAGAAGGTGGGAGTTACATTCCAAGAGAGGAGTTCTACTCCTAGAAGATAACTGGCCTCAGAGCAGAAAATGCAATATCCAGATAAGAGCTGGATTATTGGGGTTATGACTTCATTTATATTTCAAATACAGAGCAGAACTTGAGAATTGAAATCCCCAGATTAGGATTCTGGGCCACTAACCCAACAAGCATGCCCCACCATAGGCAGTTGACAGCTTTTCAGAAAGGACAAAAGATGGCTAGGAATTTTGCATGGAGGAAAGGGAAAAGAAAGTTAGGCCTGGTATGGGATTAGAAGACAGGAAGGATATGCCATGTGCTTGGGGCTCTAGAAAGAGGACAAGATAAGGGTGAAGGGCTTCGAAAAGCTGGTATTACTGAGTCTGGATTGGGAGGGGTATGTTCCTTCCAGCCTAGAGTGGAAAGAGGCTGGAATTTGAATCAAAAGAAACCTAACTTTGCTCTTGAGTCTGACATCTCCAACAAGCCAGGGACTAAGTCTGGAAACACCCAGGCTCCTGCTGACAAGCTGGCATCCCCAGAACAGGACTAAGCCAAAACAAGAAGGTAAGATTTGGGGGGCCTGCCACCTGTTTTGACATCAATCTGGCATCAAGGAGTTTTTATTTATTTATCTATCTACCTTACCTTACCTCCTTATTTTCCTGGAGAAAACAGCCTCCACCTTAGCTAGAAGGGTCTGTTTTAGGGCCCCAGTCCCATCTATTTCTCCTGATAAGGTAGGCAAGCCAGGACAGGAAGTGGGGAAGAGAATGAAGACAAGTTTGTGCTGGCCTGCCCTGTTCCCACCCAGCTACAAACTCCTCCATCAGAATGTCTATACTAGGGTGGTGGTATGATTGGATGATTGTGGAAACAAAATTGTGTGGAAATGAGATTTTTTTTAGTATAGCTGGGGCTGTATGATTTTTATCTATGGGGGTGACTTTACAAGGTTATGTGACCAAGGTCTGACCATGAATATATGACTTTGAGTGTGAATATCTTATTAGATGCCACTGTGGATCTTGGCCATCCCTAGCCTCTGTAACATCAGCCCCCACATCATACACTACCTCTCTCCTCTGTTCAGAGCTTAGGAGCCATGGGAAATGGCAGTCCTGGAAGAGGATGGGGTCTGTGACTACAGGCTAAGAATCAGAGCTCAGTAGTATCACAAGATAAGCAGTGTATCCCCACCTGTCTCTGACTCACCTAGCGCCTTAGGCAAAATGCACCTAGATAAAAAGGTAGAGGAGAGGAGGAGAAAGAAGTATCTAGGCTGAGCAGCATGAAGGGGTTCTTACCCAACAGCAGCCTCCTGCTCATACTGTTGCTCCTGAGCCCAGACCCTGGATCAGGTAAGTTCTTGGGGGTATAGAATGCTGATTGAATGGACTAAAAGGAAAGAGGCTTAGGAAAGGTCAACCTCCAGCTATTGAGTAGCGCAGTTCTGGGTCTAGATCTTTCTGAACACATGGCCCTATTGTTCTGTAGCCTTGCCACTGTCAGCTAGCACTTCCTGCTGCACTCAGCTCTACAGACAGCCTCTCCCAAACAAGCTACTAAGGAAGATCATCTATGTGGAAGTGCAGAAGGCTGATGCGGAATGTCACCTCCAGGCTTTCGTGTGAGCTCTACCCCTACCCTTGATTCCTCTAACTCTAACCTGACCATCGGCCCTGACGTTGATCCCAACTCTAATCCTAACATTAATTCTGATGCCTACTCAAGTTTTCATCTGGCTCTTGTTCCTAACTCCTGGACCCTAACCTCATTTCCAAAATATGGGCATTAGCTTTGGGCTTTCCCTTCCCAGGCTTCACCTGGCTCGGCGCAGTGTTTGCATCCATCCCAAGAACCGCAGCCTGGCTCGGTGGCTTGATCGCCAAGGAAAAAAGCTCCAGGGGACTCTACCCAACTTAAATCCAATATTACAAAGGAAAACAGACTAGAGCCCCCAAAGGCAAAAGTAATAAAGCAGAATTAGACTATTTTCTCCAAAAATGTATTCAGCCTCTTTATTTCAACTCTTCACAGACCCAAAGGCCAAGACCAAGAGCCAAGGACCAATACAAATTCTCTAGGCATCTATATACACACAATGCAGAGACTATACATTCCCTATCTCACATATGCACAGTCACATATGAACATAGACATATACACCTACACATATTCCTCAGGTGGACCTCCACTGTTAGGATGGCATCAGGGTCCAGATACCTTTTAGCTGCAGCAAGTTTGGAATACAAGGTCTCAAAAATACAGGCTCCAAACGTCCAGCTGAGACCTCCATCTGTAGGGACCTACTGCCCTGTTTCTGTCTGTCCACCCCAGTCTGACAGGGTTACAGGTAAAATCAGCTGAAGTTCTCCTGGGTTCTCTACAGGTTTGGAGCACCTAGAAGAGCAGGAGGCAAATTGGGAGGCAGTAGGGTCTTGGTTCAGGTATCCTGAGGATGAAAGGAGGGCATTTCCAAGCCCAACACTCTTGAGAAGGAATAAAGGAGCCCACCTTTGAGGGAGTCTGAACATCCTAAAAATAAGGGAGCAGTAGCCAAGTGTGGTGGCATACGCCTTTAGTCCCAGGACTTGGGAGGCAGAGGCAGGCGGATCTTTGTGAGATCGAGGCCAGCCTGGTGCTGGGGCTACAGGGAGACCCTGTCTCAAAAAAGACCAAAAAAAGGGGGGGGAGGCAAGATGGCTCAGTAGGTAAAGCGTTTGCCAAGCAAGATTGATGGCTATGTTCAATCCCCAGAACCCAAGTAACAGTGGATAAAGAGAACCAATTCCGCAAAGTTGTCCTCTGACCTCCAGACTCATACCAAGGCACATGAATGCCTGTGTATACATGTCACACACACAATAAAATTCATTTTTTTAATGAGAATAAGCATTGATCTAAGGCAGCCCAAGAAAAAGGATATATCGTTTTAATACCTTGAAAATAAGGGAAGCTACTTGGAATCCCTAATACTCTGAGAGAGAAAGACCCATTTCTGAGCCCAGAGACTCAAGAATGAAAGGCCTAGCTCTCCCTCCCACTCACCTAGACACCGTAAGAATAAAGAGACCCAACTCAGATGATTCCCAGTACTCATAAAGTTATTAGGGCATCAGGTTCTCAAATCAGACACTCAAATGGGGGTCCTAAGTCCTACTTACCTGAAAGCTTGTCCACTGGAATCATTGAAGCTAAGAATTCAGGTTTTTGAGGTTCATCCTTCCTACCCCGTCTCAGCCTGGGGCATAAAAGGACAGCTTGTCTCCCCAGCACCTCAGGCTCCTCCAAGAGGATTTATTAGCAAAGGGTCAGGACTTAGTGAAAATCATGTAGGGAGAGGGGCAGTCAAGTAAGGAGAGGTAGTTCCAGAACAGCAAAGAAGTCCTGAGGGATGGGAATGGATGTGGTCTCTGGGCATCAAAACATCTATTGGGGGTTGAGGCTAAGAAACCAGTGACAGTCACTTACCACAGCCCCAGTGCCAGAGCCCCAGCAGCCAGTCCAAGGAAAAAGAAGATTCCCAAAGATGCCAGCACAGCCACTTGCTCCAGGGGGTCCCTGTGATCTGAGGGAGAGCCATATGGTAGTGTGAAAGCGGTCCTATGCTTGATGCCACCTTCTCTCTCAGACTACTGCCTCAAACCTTTGCCCATCACCCCAAGCTCACCAAGTGGCCTTGGGTCTGACTGTAAGGAAGGCCTTGGAGGAGTGGGGCCATCCTCCTGAGCTACTGCCTCTTGCTGTTGCATGTGTAGCAGGCCCCAAATAGGTATCTCTTTCTGCAGAGGACCTGAGGAAGATGAAACCTGAGAAGTGTCCATATAAGGTGAGAAGATAGGGGCGGGGCCAGGAACCTGAGGTTGAGGTAGAGGCCTAAGAGACAGATTCAAAGGGCATGGCCAGCTTCCAGGGATCTGGTTTGTGGACTTGTAGAAGACGTACGGATACAGCCTGTAAGTGCAGAAGCGGAGACTCAAAGCAGAGCTTATGTTGGGGCTGTGCATGGGCCACCAAAGTTGTGGTCCTAGGATGGCAACAGCAGTGCCTAAATGACCATGAGAAGGGGATATGCAAAACTCTAGCTGATAGACGCTTTGGGGTGCGGTCTCTGCCCTTTGGCTTTGTCTCTCACCAGTGCTGGGAGTGCCCCAGGCCTCTGGACTCCAGGCACTCCAGGTGCCAGCATCCAGAAAGTCTCTGGCACTGACTCGCACGGCATGGGGCAGCCCAGCCACAGCATCTGTGATCACCTCCTCCAAGCCAATGGGCTCCACCTGAGGATGAAGATAGTTTCTCAGGGCATGATCCAAGCTGTAAGTGCCCAGCCCCAGCCTACAACAAACATGTCTCTCTCATAGTGCCATCCTGTCAACCTGGTGGAGGATCTAGGTCTCATGTTAGGTGGCTGAGTTTACATCTGGGGTTTGGAAAATGATAGTATGTTGCTGGGTGTGGTGTCGCCTGCCTTTAATCCCAGCCCTCAGGAAGCAGAGGCAGGTGGATCTCTTCCAGATCAAGGCCAGCTTGGTCCACATAGTGACTTCCAGGCAGGCTGGGACTAGGGAGACCCTGTCAAAAAACAAACAAACAAACCCTCCAAGAAATGGTAGTATGTAGTGATTACTTAGGAGTGTTGCATTGCTTTGTTAAACTACTTACTGAGTGGACTTTGGCCTCTCTATACCTCAGCTTCTTCATTTGTAAAATTGTCGTGACTATACCTAATGGAGATAACAAATGTAAAATGTGTAGCATGAAGCCCAGCAGGCAGACAGCTCTGAATACAGGTTATGATTTAATGGGGCTGCATCCCAGCCCAGATGACAGACAACCTTTGACATTTTTGGATGTAGAAATTCACTATTTTCAGCTAGCTATAGGAGTGTTTATATGAGGAGAGACCACTGAGTAAAAGGAACCCCCTTTCCTAAAAGTTCTTATTTTTAAAATCTTTTCGGGAATGGGCTGCCTCTGCGTGTGTGTGTACATGAGTGCATTTGTATCTGAGCATGCATGCCAAGTCACATGTGGAGGTCAAGGACAACCACAGGTGTGAGTCCTCACCTTCTGCCTTGTTTGAAACAGATCTCTTTGTTATTCACAGCTGCATAAACCAGGCTCGCTGGCCCACCAGCTTCCAGGGATTCTCCCGTCTTTGCCTTCTATCTTGTAATTGTTGTTCTAAGATAACAGACCTGCACTACCATACTTAGCTTTACATGGGTTCTGGGGATCCAAACTCAGGTTTTCACACTTGTGCAGCAAGTACTTTACCCACTGAGCCATCTTCCCAGCCCCTAGAAATACATTTTTTTAAAGCTCCTGCTGTCCTCCCACAGACAGGCTTGCATCACAGTTAGTCCCGTCCTCCCCCCTAGACAAGCTCAATCTGTCCTCCTAGATGCAACTCCACCATTCAATTCAACACCTGGACACTCTCTATAGGGAGAAAAAAAAAGTCTTTTTGGACCTGCTGATGCCTATCCAGAACACCCAGGATCTCCAAACCAGAGACAGAACCCATAGGTCAAGGTTGAGACACACTGAAGATCTCACCATAGACCAGGCTGGATGCTGTGCTGGACGGTACTGCAGACGGAACTTGAGCAGGAAGTGGGGCTGGCGGCGCCAGGAATCAGGGTATGTCCAGCTTGCTCGCAGGCGTCGGGGGTACCCAGGTACTGACTCTACTCGCAGTCCTTGGGGTGGGTCAGGGCGTACTGAGGGTAGCCAGACACAAAAAGAGAGTAGGCAACAGGTCCTCATCCCTTCCCCACCACTTTCCAAGGTATGTGCTTAAAGGTGCCTTAGTTAGATGCTTCCCAGGGCGGAGGAGGAATTTCACATGTGATCACTCATTTAGCCTCAGAACCTGTTACCCTTATTACAAAATAAGCTGCTTTCTGAAAGCAGAGTTTGAGTGAATAAAATAGGAATTCTTTCCCTCTAAGGAAGATGAATTAGCCAAAATTTCTGCCTAAGCTTTACTGGTCTCCCCCCTCCCACATGCAGATCAAGAAGAAAGGGATGAAGAGGACTTTCTTTTGGGCAGGAGGGACATGAGATTTGGCTGCCTTCAGTACAGGACCTAGAAGCAGGAGTCAACTCTGAGGCCAGGCAGCCATGGAGAACCTGCCAGTAGTGGCAGTAGCCTCCACAGTGAGTACAGAAGTAAGACTCCACCACTGTGACTTCTTAGTCTTTATGTGTGAAATAAATCCCATGTTGGAACAAGACTGGCTGGGAGCTAGGGCAGGGTGTTGAGTCTATTTGGGATCTCAGTGATGAGGGTCTCTGGGGAAGCCTAGGGGCTACAGTACTCACAGATGCTCTGCAATCTCACATCCAGCAGGCATGTGCTGGTACCCAGTGGGTTCACCTCAGTCACATTAATCCGGTACTCGCTCCAGAACTCTGCCCCATGGACCACGCAGCGGGAAGCCCCTAGGGGGTCCTGTGGGCATGGCCAAGGCCCTGTGGATGGACTCACCCTAGGAGGGAGGATTTGGTCTTGGGCTTTGGAAATACCCACAATGGCTCACAAATTGAAGTCCCCAATCTTTCCCTCATGTCCTACCTCTGACTCTCAGCTCCTGGCATGGTCTTCTTCCTAGTAAAAGGGGTCCCATCTGAGGTCAAGAGGAAAAGAGGACCCTCTGCCCTCTTTGAGAATTTGTCAGAACCTCCCTCCCTACCTCCCATCCCCCACATCATGCCAGCACACTGGATTGCATAGGCACACACACACACCTGTAGGAGGTGAGGTAGCGGGTGGGTAAACCGCTGACCTGCCCGGGACTCCAAGTACAGGAGAAGTTTTCATAGTCAACTGCTTGGCAGGAAACCACAGGACGGGCTGGAGGAACTAGAGGAAAGGGTATAGCTGGTCCCTAGCTTCCCGTCCCAGAATGCAATCCATCATGCTCAGGTCCCAGATCCCCTTGAGAATCCCAAGACTCCTCACTGCCACCCTCCCTAACTCACAGCCCAGCTTCAGTGTCACGGTGCCCCCAAGTACACCATCCATGGTCTGGCAGATGTAAGTGCCCTCATCAGCACTGTCCACCTGAGCCAGGACCAGATTTTGTCCTAGTCCAGAGTCAGGTCCTTGTAGTAGTCTTGACTTTCCATCCCGAAACCAGGACACCAGCATCCTGGAGGTGAGATGAGGTAAGAAAGAGCCTAAGTCAGATCATGCAATTGTTCTCCACAAATGTCTAAGTACACTTGCAATAAAAACAAACTCCATGCTTGGCAAGGTAATGTATACCTGTCATCCCAGCACTCAAGGCTACACAGCAAGTTCCAGACCACCCTCAGGTACCAAAAAATATATATAATAAAAACAAGATAGAAAAGGAAAGAGACTAAACTCAAACACAAATGCCCTTCACTGGTTTATGCAGTCCCTTATGATCTACCTTCTATCACTGCTTCCCTCCTTCCTCCTAAGCCACATTGCTCTTTTTCTGGTCCTCAGAGGTGAGTTCATCCCAACCTCAGGGCAGTCACACAGCAATTCTCAGTCAGGAATGTTTCTACTCTAATCTGTGCATGGTTTCCTCCATCTGACCTGGCAAGATTCTTGTGTGCTTACTGTCTTCCTCACTAGGACGTAAGCTCCTGAAGGCAGGCCCCTTTGCCTGGCTTGCACACTGCTGTATCTCAAAGCCTACAACAGACCAGGCGCTTAACTTAGCAGATAATCAAAACATACTGCTTGTTTGGGGTTTGTTTTGTTTTGTTTTGTACTAGGTGTCAAACCCAAGGCAGAGAACATTCCAGGCAAACACTCTTCCCACCAAGCTACACTCCCAACACTGCCTGAATTTTCTATTGAAAAAGGATGATTGGAGGGTTAAGTCAGAAGGGCAAGGATTATAGTCTGAAGAAGCAAGGATGGGAGGGAACATGAGGTCTGGGCAGGGTCAAAAAAGGGTCATGAGTATGAGATCAACAGGCACGTGGATACTTACCCAGCAGTCACTCCAGGGCAGCACAGCATCACGGGCCGCCCAAGCTGCCCATACTGGACTCCTGTGAAGGGCATTTCTGAGGTGAGGCCTTTCTTTACCACCACCCCCTATTTATGAGACTGACGGGGTAAGGAACAAACTGTTAAGCCCTGGGTAGGGTCATTGTGCCAAAGCATGAAGTTATACTTGGGAGACAGAGGTTAGAGAACAGAGAGAGAAGGGACCTAGGCTGTCAGAAATGGTGGGGAGGGTTCTAAGTCAGACCATAGGAATGGGCCACAATGAGAATTGCAAGTCCTAAGCCAAAGCTGGGGGGAGCACAGAGTGGCATTTTTCTTACCTGGGGGACCCCAGTCTTGGGGGCAGAGGGAGGAGGAAGACACCAGGGCTGTAGCCACGGCCACCAGGACCCTGCTCAGCCCTGAGCAGCTGCTGCTCATCTGTGAGGAAAGAGGGAGGTTAGGAATCCCCCATCCCTGAGATAGAAGCTAAGCCTGGCTCTTCCTCTCCAAAGCTGGGGCTCCGTATAAGGAAAGCTGAAGCATCAAGAGGAAGGAAGCTTTCAGAAATGACTGAGGAATCTAACCTGAAGTCCCCTTTCCCACTATATATCCAGTGACCCAATGCTATGTTTGCCCTTGCGCGCACGCACACACACATACACACTCACTCAATCACTCGTCTCAGTCCTGGGCTTAGGGCCCAGAACAAAAGCCGGAGGCAACAGACTATGCCAGCAACCACCCTACCCCCACACACACACCACCCTTGGCGCCCACCCCAGCACCAAGGGCTGGCACTAGCTCAGCCACTTCCATTAACCCATATAAACCAGCTGTTAGGAATTCTGGCATTCACTCCCCACCCTACACACCTGTCCAGGGCTAATCATTGCCTCTGGTTAACATATAGCAAACTTCATTACCCTGGGGGTGCTGTCATGGTGGGTACAAACCCACCCTGTAATCCCACCATGAGGCCTAGCCTGCTGTGTTTGCCAAGCCTCTGGCCTGGGTCTGGCTTCTTGCTCTCGCTACTTGGGCCACTCTGATTGGCCTGGTTTGAAATCTTGTTGGTCTCAAGCCTGTGAGGCTGGATGGAACTAGGGTGCAGGCTGGAACTGCAGAGTTAAGCGGATCCAGATGCCCTGGCTGCTGCCAGAGGCTGAGAGCAGGCGAGGAGCCAGAAGATGGAGATGGAGACAGGGTGGCGGAGAAGGGAGGGGAGCTGGGAGCCTGCAGGGCTCCAAGAGAAAATATCACTGTGTTCCGGACCACAGGCAATGAGGGGACCAATCTGCAGATGGCCGGGGTTGGAGGCAGCAGGAAGAGGCTGAAAAGGATGTATATAAGGGGTGGGGGTAAGCAGGAACTTGAAGATAGTGAGGAAGAGGTAGATGGAGAGAAAGTCCTTGGTGGACTTGCCAGAAGACTCCTGGGGGGGGCGGGTCCTCCACATATCTGTGCTGACCTGAGTGTCTTGTTGCCCCACCCCACCCCCAACCCCATTTATAGCGTTTAGCCCCACCCTACCTTGATAATCCCAGTGGCTGAGCTTCCATGGTTTCCAATTCTACAGGCTACAGCTCTGTCTCCTGCTCCACTCAGTTCTGGGACCCCAGAACCATACCCTCCTTCCCATTCTCTGCCCCACCCCCTCTGAGCCTCGGGACTCAGCCACCCCTAACCAGGCCCCCCTCCTCCCACCTCCTCCTCCTCCCTCCTCTCTCCTCCCCTCCTACCCAGTGAAGAGAAAAGGCTTCCCCCCCAAGGCTGGAGATGAAGCCACAGAAGCAGCCAGGACCAGCAAGAGGCAGAGGAGGGTGGCTTCTGCTTCTGTTTCTGTCCCTGTTGCTAGAAGATTCCCTGTGTTGTCACACAGTCATTAAAGCTATAACTCAAGGACTCACTAGGTACAGTTAACACAAAGATAGTCACTTGAATGCACATGGACACAATAAAAATTTTAACACACACACACACACACACACACACACACACACACACACACACAAATATAGATATAGTTGATGGTGCTCAGTTCTGTAGATGGCGAATCAAAGACAAGATGGAGTCCAGCTGTCTCTTGAAAACAAGAGTATGTTTGGGCCTTGGCGGAACA